TCCATTACTTGTTAGCTACATTAGCCTCGCTGCTTCAGCGCAAAACCAAAGAAGTAAACACGTCTTGGCTGATTGACTACATTTGAGGTAAGTGGGGGGGGCACCATATTTCATTAATCTGATAATCAGAAGAAAGCAGATCGCTTCATATTGTGGAGTCTGGAGCTGAGTGGGAGTGTATTTGGTTCATTTGCATGCCCAGAGGACTTTGTGTAGCCTTGTTATCCTGCTGAAAAAAACAGCACAGACCAGCATGCATTTCATACTGGTCTAAGCTGGTTTATGCTGGTCTGGCGCTGGTTTAACTGGTCACCCAGCATGGTCATTCATGGTAGGAGAGACATTTATTGTAAATAAGTTGTTGTTAGCCTAATGATGTGTACGTGTGTTGGGTTGAGCTTTAGTTTGTGTGCGTTTACTGTGTACCGTGAAGGAGTTGTATGGTTGGAAGTGACCTGCATTCGCCTTTAAAGCACAATGTTTCCTGTGTGTTCTTCTTTGCTGGTGCCACGATATGCTAGCTTGCAGGGATGGTCTAAAGCAGAGGTCGGCAACATGCAGCTCTTTTACATTGCTGTTGTGGCTCCACAGCAGAATTTGATTTTTAGGTAAAAATAAAATAATCCTCCTTTGCAGTAAAATAAAGCTCTGCTGATCGTTCAACACAGTTGTAGCAATAAATGGTCTTAAACACTGGAGTTAATGTAGCCTATATCTGCTAATTCACCAACATTTAACCCTGAAGATTGGTGCGCAGACTGCTGGTCACCATAGCAATGCACACAACAATCTCGCCTAGCTAGTCGCTAATGAAGAGGCAAAGAGAGAGATTTAAGACGAACATTGATAATTTGGAGACAAATAGACTTCATAATTACTCCAGCTGGTTTCCTGAGACATTTAATCTGCAGCGAGAAACTGTCAAACACTAAAGGCGCAAAGCTGACGTCAGCTTGTCATTCGTCAGCTTCTAGTTCCAATTTTCCTGTTCCTCCTTAAATGGTGCAGCAGTTACATTTTGGTGCCTCAGGCACATTTAAGGTGGAACAGGGATTGAAGCTGGCGAATGAGAAGCTGAATTCAGCCTCGTAAAAAGTCAAACGTTGAGAGACATTTTACAAGAAACTCGTCCACTTTTGAGGAAAAGTTTCCTGCTGGAGATGCAAGAAAAGCAGCTATTGCTGAGCTAAATCTTAGAGCAAAGTAAGTCTGCGTTTTCATTTGTATTACATTTTTTAGCCTGTACTAGTACATCAGCACATACTGAGACATATTTACAGCCAAGATGGTAAAATGGACATAAAATGTTGTGGCTCCTAAAGTGGTTTGATGTTTGTTGAAAGGACAAAATGGCTCTTCTTAACATTTGAGTTGGTGACCTCTGGTCTAAAGTTAGCCATCTTGCTGTGATTAGCAATTAGCATTGTGGTAATAACTGTGAGCCCTGCATTGATGTATGTGTGTCTCGCCAGCAAGTCTGGAAATGTTTAATTATCTCCAGTTCACATGTGGAGTAGCTGAAACTATCAACCCTTGAACTGTTCTACGAGTGGGTCAGCTGGTCAGCTAGCCACCAAGCACATTGCAGCATGAGAGACTAAGCTGCACGTTTTCCAAGATGCTTCTTGGTTCCACCTCTTCTTTGACAATGTTTCACTATATTAGAACCTGGGTTTTCAGCCCATTCCTCAAAAGCCAGCTAGGCCACATTTTATCTGGTTCCAACTCCTTAGGCCAGGCAGCTAAAAGCTAAGACACACAGGATCTGACTCATTGAGTGGACGGCACTAAACCTTGAGGTTCGGGTTTAGGAGCTCTACACTCTGAACAGTGTGGGTTCCTAAATGGTTTTTGGCTTGGATTTTACTAGAAAGGTTCCTAAAGCTTAAATTAGCATCAATGTTTTTCCATTGTCTGGCGGTTATTTAAACTCGAAAGGCCCTTCGCTCTCAAACATCTACAAAAGACATCCATTCAAAGGTTCTCTAAGGAACCGACAGTGGTCAATCGCACCAAAGAACTGTTTGGCACCAATATTTGTAAGCGGGCATTGTAATAAGATCAGAAACATTCACAGTGGCCGTGGCCGGCCTGGGGAGCCCGGGTGGCGTTAGAGGTCAGGTTAGTGCTGAATGAGACTGACCGAGTGAGGCATATGGAGAACCCGGCTGTTCAGCTTCCTCCCTGCTGGTTACAGCTCTGATCTGTGTCAGAGCCGCGATTGAGGCTTTTGATGTTGACCTAAATATACTGTAGAACTTCTCTCAAATCTAGACTAGCTGATCTACTTCCGAAGTTTGAGGACTGAAAGAGTGATTTATTCGAGGGACACTTTCTTTGTGCTGATTTGTAAAGCAATTAAATGTATTCATTACTATGCAAAAATTATAGACCACCCTTTATTTCTCAAAATTCACAGTCAGGGCAGCCATAAAGTAGAAGTTATTCATTTTTCAGGAGAGATTTCTGAGCAGATTACATATAAAATAATCCACTTGCATAAGGAAGGAGAAAGCCAAAGGAAAAAATGGGACTCCTAACAACCACCTGCAACACCTGATAGACACCAACACTGTCCCCATCAGATAAACAGCACTTAAAGCTCTCATCTTTGAGAGAGAGGAGAAAATCAAGCTGCTTCAGATCTGAAACAATTTGCCTGATGTGAATCAAACGCTGGAGTGAACTGAACATTTGAGACTATGTGAATGAGCGTGTGCGCATGCGTGACTATGCAGGCCTACTGATGCATGTGTGTGTGTGTGTGTGTGTGTGTGAGCAGGCTGTGACCTCAAACATAAAGCGCTGCTGTAACACACTTCAAACACAGCTGCTCAGACTGTGTGTGAGTGTGTGTGCTGTGTGTGTGTGTGTGTGCTGTGAGCGTGTGAGTGGACTCCTAACTAACCTGCTCCACTCCACTCAACCGTCTGAATGAAGCCAGCAACTTCTGATCAATAATTCATGCACTGCACACTGTCCCTTTGTCTTCATCTGCCTCACGAGCAGCCCAAGGTGATTCGTCCTGCACGTTTAATCAGATGGCAGTGACTGAGTGACCCGGCAGAGAAACGGAGACGCTTTCTACACTTCAGACTACAAACATGTTGAAGAGAATTGAGTAAATGACCGGCGGTCTGTGTTCACTGCGCTAAACAACAGCACTGATTTTTTAAGACTGCTGATAGACAAGAACTGAGTTTCTTCATTTAGAGGGAAACTTATCAAAGCATGATTTTTAGGAACCATAAATTCCTAGGAAAGTAAAGAAAGCATGATAAAGCAAAGATATATTTTTAAAATGTTTAATTTTTTCTGTTTTCCTCAAAAATGTATTTAATTATTTTAATTAAAAATTAAGAAACAAACACCCCCTGTGACCCTGGAGGATGGCAACAACACGTTCCAAAAAAGGTAAAGTTGTGTAATGCTAAAAAAACACCTGGTAGTTGATTGGCAACAGGTCAGTAACGTGATTGAGTATAAAAAGAGCATCTCAGAGAGGCTGAGTCTTTCAGAAGTAAAGATGAGGAGGGGTTCACCACTCTGTGAAAGACTGCACAAGCAAATAGTGCAACAATTCAGTAATAACATTTCTCAGAACTTTTGCTTTTCATCATCTACAGTACATAATAACATTAAAAGATTCAGAGAATCTGGAGAAATCTCTGTATACAAAGGACAAGGCCAAAAACCAGTATTTGCTGGCTGTGATCTTTGGGCCCTCAGGCAGCACTGCATTAAAAACAGTCATGATTCTGCAGTGGAAATCACTGCATGGGCTCAGGAACACTTCTGAAAAACACTGTCTGTGAAAACAGTTCATCGCTGCATCCACAAATACAAGTTAAAACTCTAAAACGCAAAGAAGAAACCATATATAAAGAGGATCCAGAAACGCTGCCACCTTCTCTGGGCCTGAGCTCATTTAAAATGAACTGAGGTGAAGTGGAAAAGCGTCCTGTGGTCTGACAGATCAACATTTGAAATTTTTTTGGAAGTCAGGGACACTGTGTCCTCCGAGCTAAAGAACACTCAGCTTGTTATCAGTGCACAGTTCAAAAGCCAGTATTCATGATGGTGTAGGGGGCATATGCTGCCAATCAGACAACGCCTTTTTCAGGAAAGGCCTTGATTATTTCAGCAAGACAATGACAAACCACATTCTGCACATATTACAACAACATGGCTCTGTATTAAAAGAGTCCGGGTGCTAAACTGACCTGCCTGCAGTCCTGACCTGTCAACACTGAAAACATTTGGAGGGTTATGAAATAAAAAATACAACATTCCACTTTAAAAACTACAGCGATTGGTTTCCTCAGTTTCCAAATACTTACAGAGTGTTGTTAAAAGAGGAGGTGATGCACCTCAGCGGTAAACAAGCCCCCATCACAACTTTTTTGGAACGTGTTGTTGAATGAATGAATAAAAAAATAAATACAATTTTCAGGTTTTATTTTGAAAAAGGATAAGAAATTAAAATGAACAGACTAAAAACTTGAATTAATAAATCACAAATTAATTATAATATAAATGTGTTTATTTTATAATTATAAAATAATTTATAATTATAAAAATGTAAATAAAAATAAATAACTATATGAAGTTTATTAATCAGGTCTTATTCTGAAGGGAGGACATACATCGTGTTTTGGCTCGTGCTGATTCCAGAAGGCCAGACACGGGCAGTGAGTGTGGAGGAGTGTGGTGGGCTGCTGTTGTCATTCTCTCCCCTGTGAGTGAGTGTCTCTCTCTCCCTCTCCTCTCTCTCTCTCTCACTCTCTCAGCTCTGTTCTCTTTGGTCACTCTGATCACGGAGCGCGCGCTGTGTGAGTGTGTACTGCAGCAGGATGTTGAAGAGGACGGCGGGCTCGAGCCCGGAGGAGATGTGAATTCATCAGTCGCGCGGCTTGCGGCTCGTTGTTGCCTGGAGGAGCGGCGGTCGGTCGGTCGGTGAAGCCGCGGCTGAGCGTTAGAGGAGGAGGAGGAGGAGGAGAGGAGGAGATGCGCGAGCTCTGCGGAGGAGCCGGTGAGTGCAGCGCTGTGTCTGAGGAGGCTGAACGCTGAGAGACGAACAGACGAGGCTGAAGTTCCTCTTATTCGGCAGCGTCTTGTTCGCGTTTTCAGTTCCACCTTAAACGCAGCAGCTCCTGCCTCAGGCGCCAGAATGGAGTTGCTGCAGCATTTAAGGTGGCACGGAAAATTCCACCTTAAGCGGCCACAGAGCAGTGTGTCGGTGTTTGTGTGGAGCTGTTTGTTCCTGCGTTTCTTACGCTGTTGCTGCTGTTTGAGCCTGAGGGAAGTTAGAGCAGCTCAGAGAGCGAAACCTGCTAGAGCTGAAGGAGACAGTCTATCTATGCTATCTATCTATCTATCTATCTATCTATCTGTCTTTCTGCCTGTCTGTCTGTCTGTCTGTCTATCTATCTATCTATCTATCTATCTATCTATATGTCTATCTGCCTGTCTGTCTGTCTATCTATCTATCTATCTGCCTATCCATCCATCCGCCCATCCATCCATTGATCTGTCTGTCTATGTCTTATTGTCTCTGTATGTATTTACTTATTTAGTTTATTTGTTTATTTACCTGTCCATTCGTTCTTTTGCTAGTTTGTTAGCTGTTTGTTTATTTGATTATCTATATATTTGTTTATTTTTTAATTTATGTGTTAATTGATTTAACCATTAATTGATGTATTTATTTTTTCTTTATTTATTGTCACATTTGTTTATTTGCCAATTTATTAATGTATTCATTTATTTTCCACTAATTTGACTCTCTATCTATCTATCTATCTATCTATCTATCTATCTATCTATCTATCTGTCTGTCTGTCTATCTATCTGTCCGTCTGTCTGTCCATCCGTCCATCCGTCCATCCATTTATCTATCTGTCTGTCTATGTCTTATTGTCTATCTATATATGTATTTACTTTATTTAGTTTATTTGTTTATTTACCTGTCCATTCATTCATTTGCTAGTTTGTTTGTTTATTTGATTATCTCTTGTTGTTTATTTTTTTATTTATTTATATATTTCTTTATTTATTCACTCATTTAGTTATTAGTCTATTTATTTATGATTTATTTAATTACCTATTTATTTCCTAATTCACTTTATCAATTTATTTTTTCATAGTGATTTGATTATTTATTTATTACCACATTTATTTATTCACTAATTTATTAATGTATTCATTCATTTTCCTCTCATTTGAGTCTATCTATCTATATCTCTATCTATCTATCTGTCAATGTCTATTTGTCATTTTATGTATGTATGTCCATCATTCATTAAGTTAGCTCTTTTTTTATCAGCTCGCCTATTCATTCACTCATTCATTCATTCATTCACTCATTCGTATGTCTGTCTGTCTGTCGGTGTGTTTATGTGTTTCTCATGCGCTGAGTGGAAGTTGCTGTGCTGCTGTTGTGGGGCAGAAGCCTGACTCATGCTGCTGTGCTGTATCCTCTGTGTTCTGTTCTGACTCTGAGAGGAATCAGGCGGGTTCAGCTGTGATCTTCAGGACAGGCCGAGCTGCTGTAGTCTTTCCTGAACTGTCAGGATCACTCCATCATTACCTCTTTACAGTGCTGCTGATCTCTGGATAGTTATCATGTGCATCAGTGATGCTGCTGTGTTGTCATGGTATCAACTAGAAGGTTGCATCCTCTGATAAGGGATAGCAGTCATTTAGTGACTGAGGACATTACTGATCTCTTTCTCCCTCTCTCTCTCTCTCTCTCTCTCTCTCTCTTTCTCCCTCCCTCTTACACATGCAACCCACAACCGCTCCTTCTCTGTCTGTACACCCCCTCAATCACTCTGCGAAACAGTAGAATATATTTATATATTTTTGTCTGACGCATTGTGTCCCATCCACACATCTACTTCCCTTTCAAATCTCTCAAACTTTCCTTGCTTGTCTGTTTAAAGGGTCCCTATCCTGCTTTTTCTTGCATATTACTGTATAGTTCCCACTGCGGCCCACTTAGAACGTTTGTGTGCTTTTATCTACCAAAAACAGTCGCAGTTCGTTTCTACATGACTGTTTTCCAGCCTCTGTTTTTCCCTTAGAATTAAACATGCTGCTTTGGTTGCTTTGCCTGCAAGACGAATGTTGATGAACTCTGCTCTGATTAGCCCTATATTGCACCTCATTCAAAAAGCTGAAACACTTCTTAGAACTTCATCTCGAATGGGCGGGGCTAAACTGCTGTAGGCCGTTTAAGGGGAAATATATAAATATGTTTCTTTTCGTGACCTCACAAAAAGAATGAACTCAAAATGGGCCGTTTTTGTAGCTCAGTTTCCAGATATGGACCGTACGGACTAGAGGAGTGAACACTTTGAACGCTAACAGTGTTTATATACCACATCAAACAGTTTTATTTAAAAGGGTTTTTCTATAGCATACAGTTAATTAGCCATCAAACAGAATAAAGATCCATTGGCTGAAGCATCTGCCCATTGACTTCCATTATAAGCCTGTTTGCTTAGTAAAAGAACAAGTTTTCTGTTCTTTTACTAAGCAAATCAAAACACTTAGAAATGACAGTCCTTGGTAATTAACCATATGGTAAAGCTGCAGCAGACAGAGATAAGATAGTAACCCATAGCAGTATCCCTTTAAGCCCATGGTCTGAACCTCAGGAGTCCATGAGCTGTAAGCAAAGCCCAGTCGATGGATTCGAGGCCCCAGGACTGCTGAGTTTAGCGGATACTTACAGGCCTTTTTCCTCGATTGGCCTGCGCTTGGCATGGGGCCAGCTGATCGCCACTGGTTCTCCCCGCAAGTATGCAGATGAGGACGAAACTCTGCAGGGTTTTTCGTATGAGGGACCTGAGCTGTTGTTGTTGCTGGACAGGACCTCCTGCAATTAAAAGCTCATTTTGGCAGTGGGGTAGTGATTGATTTCTGGGCAACGAACCTAGAGGCAGATCAGCGGGACGTGCTGGAGCAGCTTAACGACGGGCCTTATTTACAGCTGCTGATGTGTCAGAATGAGTCAGAATGTATATGTTACGCTCATATTTATGATGGCGATACCGCATTAAATGGATAGTTGGTGACAAATCAAATGTACGCAGTTTTCCCCCTTACAGCAAGTAGTCGGTACATTTTGGAGTTGACCCAGATGCAGATTCCAGCTGACGGGAATCAATAGAGTCAAAAAAACAAGAAATATAGAACGACATCTGGCTAATTATTTCACCAGAACAAGGAAATCTGGAGAGCTAATGCTATCTAAATGAACTTAGCTGACTAGCGGGGCAGGCTAAGTACCTGATTCTCCACTCTCAGCTCCTTCAGGTGATGCGGTTTGATTGTCATCCTTTTTTTGTTACAAATATTACATTTTACTTCGTTTTCCATACATACATACATATATCATCTAAACCGCTTATCCTTCTGGGTTGCGGTGGGGTGCTGGAGCCTATCCCAGCTGTCATTGGGCGGAAGGCAGGATACACTTCCACTTACGCTTCCACACTTACACTTTCCACTTTTTATAAAATAAAATACAGTTGGACTTATAGTAGAAATAGTGAAACAATGCACTTTTCAGACAGGCTTTCTAGACAGGGACAGCTGAATATCTACTAAGCAATGTAAACTGGTGTGGCCAAATTTGTCACTGTCTGAAATCGAGTCCAAAGCTTTTGATATGAATCTCAACTCCATAAGACCTGGAATTGAGGAATTAGTTCTTTTTAGGATTGACTTCCAGCTAATAGTCAATCAGTCAAGACATGTTTGCTTCTTTAGTTGTGTACTGGAGCTGTGAGGCTAATGTAGCTAACAAGTAATGGAAGCACATGTAGACAAATAAGCATTATGGAACTATCTAAATCATCCCATACTAGACTTAAATCATATCGAATTGTTAAGTAGTCTCAAATAGGCCTGCTTATGAGCGCTTAAAGTACAGACTTAAGACAGAATTCAGGATTCAAGACTCTTTTTAGCTATGCTAGGTTGCTTTTGTTGATTTTTGAAGGCTAGCCCTTGGTATAAGCTAAAAAAAGGTGTCACCATTGTTTCAGAGGGTGAAACAACCATCACCCCATCAGAGGTTCATAAGAAGCAGCTTTTTGGATTCAGATTAAGAGATAAAGTTCCAAAGAGTCTAGCTAGGTCAGCATAGCTTTGAAATGAATGGGTAACGGCTCATCACTGCTGCCTTGTGTCTACTTCACTTGTGCACCTTGCACTTGAGCGCTATGCCTGGCTAATAAGGAAAAAAGCTTGATATCTCAGTGGCCTGTTTGGACCTTTGTTTTGGTGTATAAGTCATTTGGTTATTTTTGCCATTTTGAGTTGTTTTTTGGCCTATGCAACAAAATTCAGACATCTTTAAAGAAAAAGTTGGTTCTTTAGTAAAGGGAATGGTTCTGTTTAGAACCATTAGTTCAATTTAGAACTATTTCATGCATAAATGATTCTTTGCATGGTGAAATGGTTCTTCAGATTGCTGAAGAACATGTTCTGTGTAGCACCTTTTTTAAAAAAGTTCTATATAGCACAAAAAGGGTTCTTCTATTGTTATGATGCCAAGCTTGTAACAATAGATGAGCACTTTTTGGTGCTATATAGAACCATATACACCACATTCTCCAGCAATCTGAAGAACCATTTCACCATGCAGAGAACTGGTGACTATAGTCTCTGTGTTGAAGGTGCAATTTGAAGATCCCAGTTTTTAGGTTTTAATGGCAAAAGTTCTCAGTGCTCTGCGGATGTGCTGTCATAGCATGCCTAGACTGAATAAACCCAACAGTCACCAGCTCCTGTGAAGTCTGGATCTGGTACAGTCTCACTGTGGCGTCGTGTGGAGCGAGACTGATTGGTTGTACGCATCATGCGTGAAGGAAGAAGGCAGTAAGTCTTGCCTCGCCACGTCTCTGCAGTTATTCGATTATCTAATGAAAAAAAAATCACTGACTTCATTTTGAAATGTGCTCTCCTTTCCCAAACGGAAGGGCCTGTAGGCTGATTTTTGGTGTGACAGCTTGTCTAGAT